CCCAAAACTAGGATCAGGGGACGTCGTAAGTAGGTAGTAAGTAGACTTATAACCCTAAACGGGATCATTGATTGGGGTTCTGATACTTATTAGTCTCGAATAAAGCTACTCACTCTCTCCCCCGATCCTCCAAGTAAGCCCAGTAGTACTGTAGGAACCTTCGACACCTTGGTCCTGCAATCCCAACTAGGATGCCCGGTAACCTAGGAAGAAAAAAGGCTCCCTTTTTGGTATCGGGTAACTTTTTTTAAAAAAAGGAACCTAGGACTACAAAAAGGGCAAAGCGGCCCACTGGGAGGCCTGGCAATATCACGGTTCATCCAAAGAACCCTAATTAGATCCAGGGTTACTGAAGCAGGTTCCGACATGAGCCAAGGTCCCGAAACGCAAGACCCAACTCCTCAAAACCCTGTAGATTCCCTATAGATCTGATGATCGGCGGCCTTCGTAAAGGCATCGAACTTGTAATCGCCATCCTGAATGATAGGGTTTAGGGTAAGTGGTTACTGTTGTTTGAACCTCTTAGTATCGGTAATGACAATCGATGTACCGCGAAAAGAGCAAAATCCCCGCCCTGGACTATGCAAACCCGTATGCGCAGATTTATGTTCTGCAACGGGTTGGCCAAATACCTATTCATCATATACTATCCCAGATACTACCCGTTACCCGAAACCGGGTACCTGATGGCTGGGCCCTTTGGACCCACACTGTTCCTGCATGCTTGGGCTTTGTCGTTGTGAACAATCTCAATCGACATGCGCACAGATGGTGTGAGAAATGCGGACTGCGGGCCATGTGGCGTCATATCACATGTCATATCACATGGTAGCTCCGCACATCATGCCGGACATGCTCCCCAGGACTGCTTGTCGAGACCTTAACCCCGACCCTAAACTCTAAACCCGAAAGTGCTTCTTCTGCGAATCGTCTCCGACCAAAACTTCAAGCCGTAAAATCGAGCTCGTAAGAACTCGCAATAGTCTTATACTAAGACCACAGAACAACCATCTCAGATGCCTATCTCGGCTACCCTACACCCTTAATCGCTATACCTAAGACCCAACCGGCTGCCCCTAAACCCTCAACCTTAAACCCTAAACCCTCAACCTTAAACCCCAAACCCTGAACCTTAAACCCTACGCCCTAAACCCTAAACCTTAAACCTTAAGCCCTAAACCCTAAACCCCTGGAGGCCTTGTCTAGCAGAAGCGGCCGGAGATCAACATCCAGAAAGTGGGAAGGCTCGCCTTCTCCGGGGCTTGAGGTTTGGGGTTTAGGGTTTAGGGGTTTGGGGTTGCAGCGTTCGGGAGTTTAGGGTTTAGGGACTTAGGGACTTAGGGGTTTAGGGGTTCAGGGTTTAGGAGTTTAGGAGTTTCGGGCTTCGGGTTGAGGGGTTAGGGTTGAGGATTTAGGGCTTGAGGTCATGGTCTATAGGGTTTAGGTGTTAAAGGTTTGAGATTTAGGGTAGGCTGGGTTCTGCAGATCTGCGTTTAAACAAATGCATATGTATAAATTGAGGGTTTGAGGTCTATATTGATTGAGAGGTTAAGGGGTCTCGGTTTGGAGATGTGGGGGGTGATGTTAGGATTTTGCGGGGATCAGAGAGTTGCATTGAAGGTGATGTGGTGGGCTTCGAGTTTAGGCAAAATACGTTATTTACGAGTTATCCAAGACAGACTGGCAAGAAGCCGCAATACCCCCGAGTTCTACAGTATCCTCGTAGACCATCTCTGTCCTACAGTATCCTCGTAGACCATCTCTGTCACCAAATACTCGAAAAAGCTGGCGATGGCGATGGGCAGGATCGAGGACTGCGATGCCTTTCACTGCGACGCCCCATTCGTCTTTCTGAACCGGCGTTGTTGAGCCTAGTCATAGTCTGTTCAGACAGACCTCTGAACTAGCTGCGAAGTTGGAGGCCCTGCGCATGCTCGGAGCATGCACTCCTCAATATCCACACCGATCTCTTCTTTGACCTCGTCCACCGTCATGAACAAGAAAACGCTTTCGAGCCAGGAACCCAGACCGTGACCACTTCATCTCGGAACGGCTTGAATTTGCTGCCCGAAGGGTCCTAGGTACGGTTATGATACTTTCCCAAACCGTGAAGAAGGACTCCAAATACATAAACCCTACATTCTGCTCTATAGGTATTACAGAGCCCTTGTGGATCCCTTAAAGCAACTCTTGTGGTACCCTCAAGGGAACCCTATTTGTAGAGGTACTCAGGTACTGTAAACCTTTGGGGCTGGCATCCTCCACCGGTCTCCCGGCCCATGCCCAAACTCGGCATCTTTCGTGCCATGCAGGCCTTAAACCCCTAAGCCGTAAGCCCTAAACCCTAAGACTCTGATTCCTTAAGCGTAAACCCTAGCCTTAAACCGCACAAATTCTAAAACCATAAAGCCTTCACCCTAAACGCTTAGCCCTCTGAGTCGCCTTTTAAGGGAGCAGATTCAACTAAGCCGGTTTACGGGTTGAGGGTTTTGCGGTTTGGCCATTAGTTTAGGGGTTATGGCTGGGCCTAGGGTTAGGGTTTCAGGGTTTAGGGTTTAGGAGTTTAGCTGTTTAGGGCTTAGGATTTCGGGGTTAGGGGTTAGGGTTTTAGGGTTTAGGGCTCAGGACGTTCTCAAATAAGATGTGCCATTTTGCGGATAGGGGCTAGGGGCTGGCTAGGGCTGTAATGGTGAGGGACCATGCGTGAGAACTAGGGGTACGTCTTATCAACACAAAGCTCGAGCCTTTGCACCCTATTGTTCTCTGGTGAACTGTACAACCGCGAAGTCATATTACTAAACCCAGAAAGCGACCCCAAACCCTGTAGCTCAGAACCTGGACCTGCCCATAGGCCCCATAGTGGCCCCTTTGGGAGTTGATATTTAGAATCCTATATGCTAATCCGCAAAAAGAACTACTATGGGGCCTACGGTTAGTGTAGTGTTGTTCCGAAGACCATAGCCGCTCCTTGGCAATGCTCCTGCGCTGTGCATTGGACAACATCCTGGAAGCAGCTGAGCTCATTTGTTTAGGGATTATACTGTTGATGATACAAATCCTGCATTACCCATAATAAGGAATATACCATAATTCCCATAGTTTAGGGTCCTTAAAGTAATGCAGGATTTATATCATCCACCGTATGTTCAGGATTTTCTGGTTTGGTTCAGGGTTTCAGGTCTAGGATTTAGGGCCACAGTTCAAGGCCTGGGATGCAGAATTTCTGAGGCAGGCCATAGCATTTGACAGTCTGCAACAATCGATTTCCAGGCCAAAGAACTCAGCTGAAAGTGCCTCAGTCCGAAACTCACATGTAACTGGGCGACTCCATCATCTCTGGGTAGCCCTGTACCCTAAGCCGTTTTGGAGATTCAAGGCTTCGAGAATTGAATGTTGACGCTTTCAACTTTAGAAGTATGGTTTTTAGGCAGGGTCTCGAAATGAGGCCCAAAAGCCCTGCAAGACCTTGCAAAGATGCCAAACCCTGCTGTAAGGTTTATAAGGCTCAGGGCATCTAAACATCGGAAGAACACTCACCCTAGACCCTAAATCCCAATCCCTAAATCCTAAACCCTAGATCCTGAACTCTTAACCCCAATCCCTAAACTCTTAACCCTAAACTGAAAAGCGCTAAAACCCTAAACTCTAAACCCTATAAACCTCAGATCAGTAAACCCTTAAGCCCCAAACACACTCCACGAGGTGGGTTCAGGTTGCTGGTCTCCCCAAACAGGGATTGTGCCCTAAACCCTCACTCTCATGTACGGGCCACAATAATTAGGGTAGGGTTCCTTTCAAGGGGTCTATAATGGCTACTACAAGGGCAACTATCAGGATTTTAAACAAATGTAGGGGCCTTAGTGATTCGAAGAGGGTGTCGGGGGTTCCTTATTCAACGTATAGCACAATGGGCCCCAACCACCATTCAAATTATTTAGGCCGAATTCGCCTCTATTCTTCCATGGGTTTCAACAGAATGGTCAAGAGGGGCTCGAGGGAAGAGATGTTGACGGTTTTTATCACATTTGGGAGGTTGAGGGTGTAATTAGGGTCTAGGCTTGTGCGGTACATAAGTTAGGGTTCCCGAGCATCGAGCATGGCGTCTGAATCCTAAGGTCACCCAACTTATGAGGAACACACGGTCTAGGGCTCAGGCTTTCGCCCCTATAAGCCCTATAGACCCTGAACATCCCTAATTAAACCCTAAACTTATTAGGGACAACTCATGACCTGAAGTTCTTGATTTACCATTCGATCAATCAACCAGGGCCTTGTCCAGAGGGCGACTCATTTCTACGTGCGGGCGGCGTCCCTTATTCAAACGGCACTACCGAGTAGCACGCTGTAAAACAGCTGCAGGTCAGAGATGTGGAACCAACATGCACTCAAAGCCCTAAACCCGTAAAGCCGTAAACCCCTATATAAAAGGAATCCCTTCAGTCACTGCACACTGGAACAGATTTTCGCAAGGAAGTCATCGTTGATACATGCAGCAGAACAGTAGAAATTGACGCAAAACCGCATAGGCCACAAACTTTTGCAACCCCTCCTCGCTGTTCTGCAGTTGAGGGAGCAGGCCGACGTCAGAACAACAACAGGTGGGTTGGAAATCCATTGCGGGATCTTGCGAAACACACACTGCATCTTGAAGTCCGGTTGTTTATGTTTTGCATAATTAGGAAGGACCACAGTGCTGCAAGGGTGTTTTTGGCTTGATCAGCAGAGGTGCCTTCCCTGGACTCCGCATGCCGAGAACCGTCATGCAACAGTGCGAACTCGTCGTGCTTGGCCCCGCAGATCCACTTGACGCCTACTCCTACGGGGCCGCTCTTCCAATACAGAAGTGCGTGCCGAGCTCTTCGAGTACTACAAGGCTCTGGGTTTACTGTATGGTTCCTAAACCACTACATAAGCCGCTTTAGGTCCCTTGTAGAATCATTCTAGATTCTAGATCCCTCTAACGGAACCCTAACACACCCTGAACCCAGCCGGACCCCTGCCTGAACTGCGCCGAAGACATCCACCCTCTGTGGCCGCATGGCGTCATGGTCGCTGCCTCATCATTGCGAAGCTTGAGGGATGCTTAGATGCGGAGTGCAATACAGGCGCCGTGATGATCAGAATAGGATGTTAGGGCAGGTTAGACAATAAATTCAACAACGAACCCGAAGGAAGAAGGAATCATAGATAGATCTTCGGGTATATTAGACAGAAGAAACAGGAGCCCCAAGCAATAACTAGCAATAGTATCTATCTACCTCTGATTCTTCAGGATGCTATTATAGTGGCGTGTAGGATCTTTTCAGGGCATAGGGCCAAATTTGGCCGGGTCTTGTGCTGCAGGAAGCATCATAACAGCCGGCACATGGATTTATATGATTTAGGGCATGGGGTTTCAGGGTTTATCAATTTTCATGGCTTAGAGTAGTCTGGATGGTAGAAGTCTTGCTTATCTTGCTTACTATAGCCCAACAACCTACCTGCATCATGAAGTGTTTAATCCAAAACAGAAATCCGGATCTGACGTCCCTAGCGACTTCGGTTCGAGTTCAAGCAGGTACCTTAACCCTCCAAAACCTACTTGTTTTGTAGGGTCCCTAAAACATCTGCATTAGGGTGTATCATAAGGACCTACACAACCTTGGTTTTGGTAGGTTCAGGATAGGTTGAAATTATCTCAGCACCATGGCATCAAGAAGTTTGTCCTAAACCCTCAACCCAAAGCCCTAAACCCCTCACCCTAAACCCCTAACCCTACACCCTAAACCCTAAGCCCCAAACCACTAACCCTAAACCCAAAGCCCCGAACCCTAATCTCAAGAAATGAGCTGAAGCTGAGGGCCCGACCCACGCCCAACTGTCCGTCCGAGTTTCGCCCGAAGCCCCAGACATCGCCGCCAGATGTCACGAGAAGACTGCGCGGCGTTGGGCAGCTGGCTCGGTGAGGTGGGCGGGGGTATTAGGGTTTGGGTTTAGGGGTGCCTTAAACAATACGAGTAGGGTGTTGGGGCACATTAAACTATGAACTTCGAGGGGCTGTTAAGTGCGAATTTTGCTAATTTGTTAAGGAATATTTATCCGACACCTTTCTCGGCGGAGGAGATGGCTCTGTCAGATCGAACGGTACTAGCTGGTAGTTGAGCTTCTATGTTCAAAGCCGACCATGGAAACCTTCGACCAAAAGGACCACCACTGAACCCTAAACCCTAAAGTCCTAAACCCTGAACCCTAGCAACAGCTCTGGACTGGATGGATTACAAACCCTGAAACCCAACAACATCTATGGATGGATCCAGAAGGCCTAACGGTGAAAGCAACCAGAGCTTCCATCCATGATATAGGGTTCAGGTTTAAGGTTCAGGAGCTTATCGAAGGGTAAAAGGAGGAACCCTTAACAAGGACCCTTAGGTATAGAACCTTAATAAAGCTATTTTATACCCAGTATATGGTCCACTAATGTCCATTATAGGGTATATAGGGGTCCCCATTAAGAGTCCCTCCTTTTGCCCTGGAGGTTTAGGGCTTAAGGCGGCCATGCTTCGGACGGTTTGGGGCTTAGGATTTTGTGGAGTCAAGGTTTAGGATCGTTCGAATTTCTAGTTGCAGTCTGCTCCATTGCTTGGTTGGTTGAGCGGTGTGGTCCTTCTGAAACACTCCCCGTTAAAACAGCGGGAGTTGATCAAAATGATGATGCAGGACTTGAATTCTGCAATGGCACAGACCGCCAATCGCTTCAGGCTGTCAAGCGTTAACAATGCAGATAACCACTGAACCCTGGAAACTCAAGCTTACCCCCTCATACAGCATGCATATCGGTCTTTTATCCTATGCCCGATCGAGGTCACTAGTGGTGAAACGTCGCAACTGGCCCTGAGGGTTCACTGCAACCAAGCTAAGCCAACTAGCGCGCGCCGAAGCTGATGATCAAGCATATATGGTTAGGGTGTCGGACGTGTGCATGCGCCTTGGTACTGACCATCTTCCGACATTTCGCTTCCTTTGAAACCGCTTTCAGTGGAGACACAAGCCCCAAAATCTGAAACACAAGCGCTGAAACCGAATTCCCTACTCGCTGGAGCAACCCACCGCTTGGACCCCCAGGGCGCGACAAAACTTCGGGCGAACTTGTTGACTAGCAGCCCACTTGGTTGGAAGTTTTTCACACGGCAGTCGCAGGCTCAGGGGACCAAGAGACATAAGAAATAGACCCCGAACCCTGAACCCCAAAGCCTGAACCCTAAACCCCAAAACCATCAACCCGCAAGGAATGAAACCTAGTTCTTTGTCATTGAGGGTTTGGGGCTTCGGGCCCGTGGGATTCGGGTGCTTACTATTGGAGGAATGCAAAGCTGATCTCTTCTGTACGACAACCGTGAGTGGGCTGCCGCGCCAGCCTGTAATGTGTGGAGTGGCAGAACGAAACAATGTTTGCTCTTATGTAACATGGGGACCTGAAACGCTAGCATAGGGTTTTTTGAGAGGGCGATCTCATACTCTAGATTGTAAATGATCCGTCAGTTGAGTCTATTGAAGCACTGCATGTCACAACCCTAAACATTGGAGAGCACCGAAGCCCTGGCTTATATAACCATGGAACCTCTACCTGTAGCTAGCATTCCTACTTTTTAAGTCCCTAGAAGCTCGATCTTGAGGTCTACAATATGAGCCTACGAAAGAGTGTCTCATGGTGGCTTCTACGTTTTGTAATCCCGTATAAGGTCTGCAAAATGAACCTACGAAAAAGTAGCTCATGGTAGTTTGAAGTCAAATTCAGCCGCACTGCCCTGCCCCCGCCAGGCTGGCAGCCCCAAGCACATTCTCCCAGAAGCTAGACCCGATAATCAAAACTGCGACACACCCCACAACTCGACAGCAATAATCTAAACCGAATGGCGGAATTAGCGAGAGGACAGTTGCAGTGTCCTACAGGTGCAGATAGCGAACCTAGTGCTCCATCGTGCCTCAAACCTGTGAATCATCTGCCTGCCACTCTCGAGTGAGACGCGAGACGCCGGGCAGGTGAATGTGGTACCATATCCAATCTTAACTCAGATCGGAAACCTGAACCCTCGAAGCTCAACCCAGAGCTTTCAAGACCCTCGTTCCCAAACCGCGAATAAATCCGACACCCGAAAAGCCTAAACCCTGAACCACTACATACCCTAAACCCCCCAATGAATCCTGAACCCTAATTTAAATCTAAACACCAAAGGATGCCCTGTCGAAGTCTCTTTCCAGCAAGGCCCGCTTAGCGGAAACCCTGCGTGCGGTTCCTCTTCTCGTGCATCAACGAGTACCTGCCCACGATCTACGACTTTAGGATTTTGGGCTTAGGATTTCAGGTGGGGGTTGTTCGGTTTGTTAAAAGATCCGAAGTACCTATATGGCGAGGATCTTCCCCCAAGCAACAGAGTACCGAGTAGTTACCCCACTAATCTGAGTATTCCGGCCCCCGTTGTCCCATATATAGATATAGATACATACATACATACATACATACATACATACATATATACATATATACATACATACATACATACATACATACATAAAAAACACACACATATATATATATATATATATATATTAGATCGACCCAGACACCCTGCATGGAAAACCCTTACCGGAGCTCTAACACAACTGCCAGAGTAATCCATGCAGTCACTCATGAAGATGCGATTCACCCCTGGTGTTGTACTACCAGTAGTAGTAATAGTAGTCTTAATTGTCATAGTGTCGCAGTAGTAAATGCTAAACCCCAAACCCCTAACCCCCAAACCCTTGAGCCTCCTGAAGCTAAGGGCTTAGCCCATAGAGGCAGAGCTCCCAAAGGACATGGGCAGCCGGAAGAGGCAGGGTTCAGGTTTAGGGTTTTAGGGTTTAGGGTTTTTAGGGTTGAGGGTTTAGGGTACATATGAACAAATCCAATAATGATGCAAAGCCCCGACAACTTTCGCACATATGGGGAGCGAAACCGAGCCTATACCCCTGCTAAAGCCTGAAGAAACTGAGCTCACAGATGGAGTGGTCGAGCCTGTCTCGGATCTCGATTCGGCTTGGTGGTCACTGCACCAAAGAGTTCGAGTTGCAAGCCTGGAAATGTCAGATCATCTGAGTGTTGGTACTTGTCGGGGCTTGGGATTCAGGTATCGGTTTTGTTGGGGGCTGTCAAGCCTCAAAGTGTGCGAGGATCAGACGAAGTTCGGACTTCCTCCCACAACACATCACATATTATATCTCTATGATAGACAGAGGGTATTTTTCTAGGCTGTTCAGTAACCCACTGGGAAAAAAGTATATACTTTTTTAGGCTGCGGTTTTATAATAGGAACCCAGAAACCTGAAAGTAAAAAAGTGTACCACTGAACAGCCTGGTTTTGGTACATATCCAGCAAGAATGAGGGGCTTTAGACCGGATCTAGGTTTCAGGATGTAGGCAAGCTGTGAACTCCTTCTACGAGCTGCAGTCTCACGGCCCTAAACCCAGATCTGAGCATGGTGCTTTCGTCCCCAACAGAAAATTAAAACAAAAACGAGACTAAACCCTAAAACCTAACCATTAAAGCCTGACGATTCAAAACGCCAAGGTGTGGCTTAGAGTTCGGTCTAGGAGATTCAGGAAGTCGAGCTTTGAGTTTGGGATTCAAGGTTGTTGGCGTAAAGGGTTTAGGGTTTTTGTGGTTTTGGGTTTGGGTTTTTGGGCTTAGGGCTTATTGCTTGGATGGGTTTTGGTCTTGACAATTTCTAGACTCTCGCATTTAATCCTAGGATGCCCGGTCACCTTAGAAAGCCAAAGGCCTCCTTTTTTTGGTATCGGGTATCTTTATAAGGAACCTACTGTTGATGGACCCATTATAAGGAATATACCATAGTTTCCATAGTTCAGAGTCCTTAGGGTCATGCAGGATTTTGTCCATCAACATAGGACTACAAAACGGGGAGATGGGGCCCACTGGGAGGCCTAGAAGGAAGCTGCGGGTTTCTTTCAGGGGCCAAAGTAATATAGGGGCCTTAAGAATTAACCATGCTATTTTGGGGGTTCCTTGTTTTTAATCTATAGTATAATGGGCCCCAAAACCCTATTCTAATCATTCAGGCCCCTATAGTATAGTAACTGTGAAACGTGTCACAGCCGGACCCAAGAAAAGCGCAGACGCCCTGAACCCTTCAACTGCCACTATGCCATAAGCCCAGTTTCTTGAACCCAGTGTCCTCACCCTTAGTCAAAACCCGATATTGACCCATACCCTACACCCCATATCCAAAAACTGAAACCTATGTCCTAAACCCTTAACCCTAAACCCTTAAACCCTAAACCCTTACACCCTAAACCCTAAAATGTCCTAAACCCAAGGCCCCCTGAACCATTCAGACAAACGAGGCGGTTGGGCCACTGAGCTGTACAGCGCTCTGGGGTACACACCTTGGCTTATAGGGTTTCGGTTTAAGTCTCAGTGTTCCGGGTTTAGAGTCATTTAGGGTTTAGGGTTTAGGGGTTTAAGGTTTAGGGTGTAATTTCGTGCTTCCTCGCGGGGTTGAACCCGACAAAGCCCAACACCCTGAACTTTGAAGCCAGCACCCTCGACCTTGAACCGTGAACCTAGACCCACAACCCTCAACTCGGAAAGCGCTCAGCATCCTCTGGGCATGTTGAACCGACTTGACAACCCTTAAACCCTATAGAATCCTAGTCGAAACATCGACACAAGATGAATGCATAATATATCCTCAAACAAAAGCCCTCCAAAAAACTAGAGGAACCCTATCCTAAATGATTTAAAAGCCTCAAGGACCACCCTTGGCCCGGCGCTGTTGCGCCAGGGCGGCGCGCAGTGATTAGCCGGTCGCCACCTGGCGGAGAGGGCATTGTGGGTTTAGGGCTTACGTCACAGTTTAGAATTGAGGATTAAAGGTTTAGGGGAGACGGCTGAATCAATATGGGGGCCTTAACAATTAGAATAGGGTTTTAAAGCCCATTCTACTCTAATTATCATAAGGAACCCGCAAAATTGTGCAGGCAGCATTACCCTAATGCTCCTGGACCCTCCTAGTGAGATCCCAAACCTTAGCCCCCAAAGCCCAAACCCTCGCCCACAAAGCCCAGGACCCTCTTAGGAGCCTTACATACCCCTATGTTAGGGTTGAGGGTCTCTTCGAGCCGAAGCCCAGAAGTCCCGATTGGTTCTCCCAAAGGGTCCCAGGTATACTGTTATGGGGGATACTTCCCGAAACCATAACCTAGTTGCCGAGTTCATTAGCCCAAAAAAGTTTAAGCTTTCAGTCTTAAGAGGGCTTCATTATCCCAAAAAGTTTAAAGTTTCTAAACTCAGCTACTAAGATAATAGTAATTCCTGATACAGAAACCCTACATTCTACTATATGGGTACGTTGGACCCTCTGGGTATTGAATCGAGACGGACTCCTGGACCCTCGATGAAGGGTCTAAAGCCCTGTAGCGTAGACCCCTGAGTACTCCACCGGCCACACTGTTAGGATCCATGATATAAACCGAGCGCTCCCGTCACGAAAGTAGTACATCATATGTGGTTCTGTTTAGGCAAATGGAAGGAAGTCTTTCGCCTAGAACCTCACATCCCTCAACCCTTAAGAAAACGTAAAACCCTATAGAAACCTCCATCACGGGGAAGTGTCCCCACACCCTCCGAACCCTGAGCCCTGGACCCAACTATCCTAAACTCTAACCACTCCAACACAAAGCCCTCAACGATATAGACTAGCCTGTAGAACCCTTCAAAGCAGGGAAGTGAGGCATGTCCCAGCTACTCGCCGAGGCATCCTTAGCCAAACTCACCTGCGAGTTGTAGGAGAACCTCGGAGGTCTTAGGCTTAGGGTGTGAGGTTTAGGTTATTCATTTCTTGGCATTGAGGCTCTGAGGTGCTTGAGTCTCGGCATAGTTGCAACGTCAATACAGCACTCCCCGTTAGAAGTTTCAAGGTCGACAGTAAACCCCATAAAGTTGGAAACCTGATTAAGGCCAAAGAGTTGCTCCAGGATGTTCGGACGTCGGATTGGGGCTTGGGGTCCAGGGACCTAGAGAGGGTTCAGGGTTTACCAGTAACCCCATGAAGTTGGAAGCCGGATTCAGGCCAAATAGTGCTGGGATTCCCTATACATTACTCTTAAGGATTGCGGCTATTGGGCTTCCAACTTTCGGGCTTCTACTATAGCCGAAGGGGATTATGGATTCCCAAGCACATGCATGGCCACGCAACAGCCTTCTGCTGGCATGTTTGGGTACGGCTTAACTGACAAAGAACACCTTCCACCCGGTGAGGACTGCATCATGCTGTCATAAACGCCCTGGCAACTCCCGAGGAACATAATATGTGAGCATTTACAGGGCGATTAGTGTACCATTGCCGAACCGCAAAGGATTCCAAATATTTCCACACCGATGTTAGGATTCTGGGAGAGCATCAGAAGTCCTCTGACTGCCTATCCCTGCAGCCGTCTTGAAGGCGCGATGATGGAGATCGTAAACACGTAACCCCGAGCCCACGAAACACCAACTCCAAGACGACAAGACAGCGGATCTATCTACACTGTCACGTCAAGACTGAATGCAAAGTCCAGGCGTGTCACTGTTTCTTTGTAGATTCCTTTTCTTGGCTCGTGATGTACAGGTATGTTCTTGTTTCTTTGTAGATTCCTTTTCTTGGCTCGTGGAACCTTTGAGGCATCGACTTCGTCCCAGCATCAGTCAGGCGCCAAACCTGACAGCACAGACTCTCCGGAAGGTACCCAGAGCCTCCAAAACCCCTTAATTAAGGAATATACCTTAAATTATACTAAGATCCCTAATTTGATTTAAGGTATATTCCTTAATTAAGGGGCTTTGGAGGCTCTGGGTATTCTCCAAATCACGGGCAAGCAACGGAGATTCAGTGTTCGGGAACTCAAGGTTTACGGTTCTTTGGAAAATTTGGGGAGCCGCCAGAAGGAGAGCTTCAGTTAATCCCAAATCATAAACATCCCCACAGCAATGAGACCTGTCCCGGGTTCACGCTAGGTTTAGGGCTTCTGGGGAAAGTTTAGATAGTTCAGGGTTTATAATGGGCCTTAGGGTTTATAGGTCTTTGGAATTGGGAATTTGTCCTTACGCCCTGAAGTGTAAGACCCTGTACCCTGTACTCAATCAGTCTCATGAACCGCGAAGTCCTACCCCAACAGTAACACCCCACCAAGCCTAGCTTCTTAGCGATCTATACCTATAATTATATGTCATAAGAAGGTAAACCTTAAACAGCTTTGCTTTGTTTCAGGGCGGGGGGGGTGATCATTAAGGGAAACCTTTACAGGGCTCTATGGCCTGGAATTTAGAAGGGCGAGGACATTGCGCCGGTTCTGAGGCGTACGGCAGCATTGCTAGGGTCCAGGGTTTTCGGTCGATGGTTTAGGGTCGAGGGGTTAGAGTTCAAAATTTAGTGTTTGGGGTTTAATACGCCTCAGGGCGATGAATGGCGCGTGTGTGTTTGATATAGAGCGGCATTGGGGCGTATTGGGGATAGCGCTGCTGGAACTGCCATGCGACTCCCAAGCTGTAACAAACTTACCCTCAATCCACAACCCTCCTATTCCCAAAGCATCGGGGCTACTTTCCCAAATCGTGACAGTGGTTCGTAGTATCTAAACCCCACAATGACAGAGCTGCTTAAGGCTCAACCCACGGGAGCTTTCACCCTCAAAGCGGTCCCTTTTTTTCCTACCAATGTGTGGAAGGTATCCGATGTGAATGGATGTCTGTCACCTGTACCATCTCTTCGTTTCAAGATATTCGAAGCCTCTGTGCTCTGTAGCAGGATCGAGAAGAAAGGGGGTGATGCTCCGCCAACAAGCAAGCGACATTCTGACTATCCTAAACCCAGGTATTTGATTACTGGGTCCTGTGGCCACTTATAACCCCCAAAACCTGCAATATACCCTTGCAAACAGTTTATGCAAGCATACAACCCTATGGGGTCGTCTTGATCCTTCGGGGAAGGGGAAGGAAACAAGAGCAGTACCGAAGCCTGCCTTGTCTGGCTTCCGCCGCTCCAGGCGCTGGTGCAAGGGCCTCTGATGCATGGTGAACCCTGCTTAGGGCTCATAGGAGTCATAGGATTTAGGGCTGGCTGAAGCGCCGACAGAATTGTGCTGGCTTCTGCACATAGGCTTGAAGCATGGCCCCCTTGGCTTGTCCGTATAACCTACTTTAACAAGGTCTACACCCCGCAAACTAAGGACCCTTGGCAAGTCAAACGTGCCGCCCTTGCATTTACACTGGGTCAAGATGCCCCAGGGCAAAGGATAAAGACTACACACAAATAGCGATCATCCAGCGCCCTAAACCCAGAACAACCTTAGGCAGTATGCCACACCCTAAACCTACCTTAAACCCAAGTCAAGTTCGAAAGCTGGAGGATTACAGATGCCACGTCTTGCTATTGACACTGGATTTGGGTCTGGGGGGGTGGTGGCTATGGAGCTTTGAAGTTTGAGGCTGCCTGTTAGAAGGTGACCCGGCCTTTCATAATATATAACAACCAAGATATAATGTATAGTTATGTTACATTAACATATAATATAATATGATATATGATATATGACTTAACTTAAACAACATGGGGTTAGGCCCCACAGATAGAATTGGTACAGCAACTTGAATCCAAACTGTACTTGGCGATGTACGGAGTCGGAGAATAGGCGACTGGTCCAAGGCCAGCGGCCACAGAAGCAGATCATGTAATCTACTGTCTCCATTATATAGCTCCGTTTTGGGTTACCTTGCTTATTCATCGAATCAACACCGCTGAAGCTGGTTGAACCGTATAATGCAGGTGGGGACTTCGGACCTTGGGATCTGGAGCATGCAAAGCTCCCGGGATGTCATGGTAGGTTTAGGGTTTGAGGGTTTATTCAAGTTCAAAAGACAAAACCGTCTGAAAGAAGCGTCGAAGTGCCTTGAATATAAACTTAAACAAACCCCGAGCCACAAACCCTAAACACAAACTGCTAGCCGTTTCTGGTTGGATTCTGTCTCTTCAGTCGTCTCGACAGAACCCGGCCTGTGAATATCGAAGGCATCGTTGGCCCAGGTTGATCGCTCCTGTCTGTTCTGAGAGCTTTACTTCTTAGAGCTTAGGGGTCTATAATGTTTAAGGTTGAGAGTCCAGGGTCTATGGTTAGCCCTAAACCCTAAACCCTAAGTCGTAGGATTTAGGATTTACGGCAAGCTTGTAGAAGCTCAACTCATAAGCACCCAAAGTTGAGGTCTTCGATGTCCTCCTCACGATGCTTCGAGGGACCCTAAACCCTAAAACTCTAAAACCCTAAACCCTAACACAAGGAGTGCTACAATCCAAGCCGACCTCGAAACCACCCTACAGTAGAAGCCCAAAATTTGGAAACCCCATAGCCTCAACCCTTAAGAGCATAGGGAATCCCAGTACTATTTGGCCTTCATCCGGCTTCCAACTTCATGGGGTTACTGGTAAACCCTGAACCCTCTCTAGGTCCCTGGACCCCAAGCCCCAATCCGACGTCCGAAAATCCTGAAGCAACTCTGGCTCAAAGTGAGCATGCTTGGAGGATCGTGGGACTTGGTAAGTAGGGCTATATAAGTACCTGGTACCTTAATTAAAGCTTTCGAACGATAGTTGCTAAGTCTCATGATCCTCTAAATAGACCCTCAAACCCTAAACCTTTAACCCTAAAACTCTGGAAATCAAGAGGTCCTTTCTGTTTCTATAAGTCTAAACCTTAAACCTAAAAATTCTGGAAATCAAGAGGTCCTTTCTGGTTCTAAGCCTAAACCTTAAACCCTAAAATTCTGGAAATCAAGAGGTCCTTTCTGGTTCTAAGCCTAAACCTTAAACCCTAAAACTCTGGAAATCAAGAGGTCCTTTCTGGTTCTAAGTCTAAACCTTAAACCTAAAAATTTCTGGAAATCAAGAGGTCCTTTCTGGTTCTAAGCCTAAACCTTAAACCCTAAAATTCTGGAAATCAAGAGTCCCTTTCTGGTTCTTAGCCTAAACCCTAAAATTCTGGAAATCAAGAGGTCCTTTCTGGTTCTAAGCCTAAACCTTAAACCCTAAAATTCTGGAAATCAAGAGGTCCTGGTAAGCGTGCAAGCTTAGAAGCTTCTCGTTGGGGTTCTCCCACCTGTCCCATGCCAAGGGCCACGAATGAAAGGTGTACCATTGGGGCCTTAATGATTAGGGTTTAGGGTGTAGGGTTTAGGGTTCTTCAACTTTGAACCTCATACAGTACAAGGCATAAAGTTGGAATATGATTATCCTAAACCCTTTATGGTAAATTATAGGGTATCCTACCCTGAAACCATATTCCAACTTTCTGGAGTTCCCTTAATGATTAGAACAGGGCCGTTGGGAGAATACGCAGTAAACTTTCTAAAGGAAAATACATATAGACACATCCTTGAGCCCTGATACCTTCACCATGCCTTCAAGCGTTTCGCAAAGTCCTCAGGTATCACCCTAAACCCTAGCCCTAAGCCCTAAACCAGTGTTCCTAAACCCTACGGTTGATGATATAAATCCTGCATCACCGTAAGGACCCTAAACTACGGGAATTATGGTATATTCCTTATTATGGGTAATGCAGGATTTGTATCATCAACCCTAGTAGCCCCTACTTGGGGATTGCACCGTTTATGACCTCGCGCTCAGCTCCAGGGTTGCCAGGCTCGGTACAGCAGGCCCCTTTTTAGTGAGAATAGGGTTTTCCGGGAATGTAAGATGTGACTCCGAAAAACTTACCTTTGGTTAGTAGGGAATGGAGGACTGGGGTAGAAATATAACTACTATTACTACCATTCGTCCATTCCCTGCTAACCAAAGGTAAGAAAAGGGACTGTAAGGAATCGCAGTCATATGCGACCCCTATACTCGGCCGTAGGGGCTTCGGGTTCTCAAGCCTTAGATTGAGCCCATGGATCGCAAGAAGGCGAAGCTGTTTCTTTGTGCCCTCCAGATGTACCGAGAATACTAGGCTCAAAACCCCTTACCGCTAATTAACCCCTAAACCCCTAAACCCTAAACTAGTAGCCTCCCTGATATCATAGTGAACCTGCTAGCGATAAACTGAGACTTCATCATGTTCCAGAACAGCAGCAGCATCACACGGCCAGAGTCATCTGAATATGGAGCAACTCTACATCGTTGATCATGCAGCGAAGCAGCTGGATACCCAGCTAAACCCTAAACGTAATTGCAGCCGTACCACTTGGCGGCACACAGGCCTGAGTTCCAGAAACCTTTCTGACATGGCCCTGGTTTTGTTCGTCTATGCACTTGATGAAAGCTTACTAGTTAAAAACTGGTTCACGGTTCGGGGTATATCATGGCGGTATAGCTGAGCTGTAAAAAGGACTGTGGTTGTAGAATAGCTACAGTAAGGACTTGGGGGATACTCTTACCAATTATTCCGACACAGCTCTGATGCAAGCTCCGGTCACCCCATCCAAAGCCCAGGACAAAACAATAAAACCTGAAACACATGAACCCTGGAATATGCTATATACCATACGCATACGTCATACATAATATATTCTCTAAACCCTAAACCCTGAATCCCAGACATTCCAAAATCCCTTGATCAAGGAATATACCTTCAACTACAGTAGGATCCCTGACATGATTTACGGTATATTCCTTAATTCAAGGATTTTGGGAGGTCTGGAATCCTGGAGCTTCATAACCCGATGCTTGCAACGTCGCTTCCGCCGCCTCAAAGAAGGTGCTTTGTACTCGCTAAAGAGGACGTCCTGGCGGGAGGAAAAGCGCACACACCTAGCTTCTTGTTAGGGTTTAGGGCTTAGGCTTTAGGGGATTAAAAGGAAGTTCAGGTTACCATAAGTGGGATGGGATCTACAGCAATGTGGTTTCTTTATTATGGCTGCGAATCCCTTAACGAGAACCCACACACACACACACACTTTCATTCTCTCTTCTTGGATTCAAGCGTCAAGAGTCAAGGGTTCGGGCTTCAGCGGCTTCACCACCTAACTACGGTGTCTTTGTCTTGCCATTCCGTGGTGTTCTGCTTGGGAACATGGACTGCCGTGATTGCAGGGCCACTGGCACTGCCAGAACAAGAAGCAGAGGACGACGTTGTCAACGGAGACGGAAACAAGAAGACCATCACCAGCATCGCCAGCAGCAGCAATCGCAACAAATCAAGATCACCGAGGCACTCGTCAATGCAGCAGACGCAGGCTTCCTTTCTCAGCCTGTGTGCTCTGATTCTGGCCTTCAACCCTCGTGACTGTTTGTGCCTAGTGTGTCATAATGACCTTTCAGAATGAGGTACAGTACCCTAATGGAAGCTTTATGTCCATGAGGTAGTTGTGTTGCTCTTGATGGGGAACCATCGTCGTCGTCGTCGTCTTCGTGGCACAGTGGTTGCTGCACTTGTGGCTGTGATAGGCACTGTGATGGCTGCGGTAGCGGTGGTGCTGGCGCTTGCAAGCACAAACTTTGCTATCCTTATCGTTGCTGGTGGTGGTGGTGGTGGTGGTGGTGGTGGTGGTGGTGGTGGTGGTGGTGGTGGTGGTGGTGGTGGTGGTGGTGGTGGTGGTGGTGGTGGTGCTGGTGGTGGTGGTGTCGGTGATGGTGGTGGGCCAACTGCTGGACCTGCAGGGCTACTCTGGTGATGACGGTCTGCGTTCGTGTGTCCAAAGCCCCGCTCGCGGCTCGATGCCCCCTCAACGCAAGGGACCGCGTTCCGGCGGGGTCTGAGCCATTCGCAGTGTCCCGTTTCCGGTGTATACATAGTCTACAGCGCCTGACGTTTTTTGAGCACCCCGAAGAAACCCTTGAACTTTACCCTAAACTTGGCTCTAAACCCTCAAGCCCTAATCCCAATATCCCCCAAACACCCTGCCCACTTAACTCTTGACCCTTAGCCCTACTCAGCCCTAAATCCTAGACCCCGTCAAACCCAAAACCCCCAACACCCAAAACCCTAAACCTAAACCCCAAACACCCAAAACCCTAAACCTAAACCCCAAACACCCAAAACCCCTAAACCCTAAACAAACACCCCTATAATTTGGCCTGTGGCCACACCCCAGCTGGCCGCCCTGGCGGACAAAGTGGCCTCAAGCACACATCTCTAGGGGACTTAGAATGAGTGCATTTTTTCTAAAAAAACTATAGAATGCAGATAAGGGTTGAGGGTGAGGTAGGTTTTAGGGTTCAAGGAATGCAGTTTAGGGTATAGAGTTTGGTAGGGTTCAGGGTTCAGGGCCCATAGGCTGCATAGAAGTTCCTTTTGGTGGCTTTTTTTGGATCCTACAAGGTAAACCACAAAAAAGGAACTACTATAGAGCCTATGGGTAGAGTGCAGCTGGGGGGAAGTCGAAGGTTGTGGATTTAGGTTTTAGCGATTGGGGGGAGAGTATGTAAGGGAATCTTGCATGGTTTGGGCTTCTTGAGCTGAGAGCATTCAAGAGGGTGGTTGTCAAAATTGTAGTCCCTTTTTAGGTAATTACCCTACATAATCGGTGCCGTATTATAATAGGGAACCAAAAAGGGACCCTCATTCTGACAACCACCCAAGAGTTCTGCTGATTCTCACCCTCGCTCTGGTCCATGCAACCACCTTATGAGTGTGTAACCCATGCTGAGACCAGATGAAGCCAAACTCCCACAGCGTCTGCAACTCCACACCCAAGGGATATGTACCCGACACCCCATAAACCCTAAAAGCCTTCAGCCTGTAAACCAAAACCTCCATCAACCCTATAAACTTTGTGAAACCCATTAAATAACCTTAAAACCCCTCAATGCTGAACGTGGAGCTCCGACACTGAACCACGAATATCGGGATTTTAATCAGAAGAGGGCTTTGGGGTAGGATAACGGAGATGACATTCAGCATCGCCGTGCTAGTCAGTTATAGTATAGTGATAATGAGGCGCTATAAGGTACATGGCGGTATTGGTAAGTATTCTGGCTTCTACATGAGGTCAAGTTTGGGTTTCCCGGCTGTCGCTTGATGGTGGGGAGCGAGTGGCTCTTTCGCATGGCGCACCTGGGCTGCTTTCTCTTGCGGGCTTCGACATTTCAGGCTTTGGGTGCCTCGTCGTCTACTAGGCCTCAACCATTCAATAAGCTACGGTAGACACGGTCCTGATGTCATGCCGCGACATGCACTGGAAAGCCAGGGCTTCCAGAGGCACACTCTCACCCTCCTGCACTAGTGTCCCGTTTTACAGTTTTACATACACATACATACAGTCCTTCATTCATACATCCATACGTCCATACATCCATATATCCATACATACATACCTATATATATATATATGTATGCGGACGCTTGTATTCAGACTGGTATTGATTTCTTCATGTGTTTTCAAGCTTGTATACTACTTTACCGACTGGTGTTTGGGAGGGGTCGGAGCTCGAAGGGTTCATGTCGACCAGGTGCTATGGAGGCTTTAACAATGAGAACAGGGTTTTGGGGTTCCTTTAAAGGCTTCCATTCAAGGGCTCTAGAAGGGATTTAGGGTTGATAAGGAGGCATACTAAAGAGTAGAATACCGTTTTGGGGTATAACAAAGTATATGCTTGCAGTAAGGAACCCCATGGAATCACGTTGGAAATTATTCCGGCCTCTAAAGTAGGTCATGAAGCTGTTAAGGGTCTGTTAACTCTCCCAAACGCACCCTTGAATCTAAAACCCAAATATTCACAAACTTAAGAACTCCTGAAATAACCTCACAATCACAGTACCATGACGTCTCAACTCCTCACTAGCGCTGTTTCGCGTGGATCCGCATTTGGGCCCCAGGCGCCCTGCAGCTGCACCACAGCCGGCCACTCCCGCCCCACTAGATGTAGAGCCGAGCTTCCGAGCGAGAGCACAAGCCTAAGACGCCAAGTATACAAATGATACTTACGTTTCGGTCAATTGGTACCTACTTAGGACAAGCAGATGAATGGCATCGTGTGTTGAAGTTGTGATGGCTATTTGGCTTTGGTTTCGGTAGGGTTTAGGGTTAAGGGATTGAGATGTTTTGGCTGTATGGCGCGTAAAACTGGGGCTCCGAGGGACCAAAATGTACAATCAAGCTCCATCCACAGGAAAGCACCAACGTACTGGCCTGAAAAATTAGAGCAGTTGTTCTGCAGGGGGCTGTCGCAAATTATACTCTCTGCTAGTCTTGTACGGATACGATTGGCAATCACACAGATTCCTACGTTAAACTAACGAATTTCTGCAACAAGGCAACAGGTAACCCTACACACAAGCCCGAAACCCTAAACCCTAAACCGCAACCCGAAACTCTGCAAGGAAACCCTAGACACACCAAAAAAAGGCTTTGAACCTTCGGAACCCGGGAGTCCCGCACCCAAAGCTCCAAGCTCTAGGCCCTAAGCCCAAGAAGTCCTGCGCCCAAAAGCTACTATTGGGGGCCTCAAGAATTAAAATAGGGTTCCTTTGAGGGGTCCTTTAAAGGGGCTACTATAAGGGATAAGGGCTGCTACCAGGGTTCTATAATACAGGGGCCTTACTGATTAGAATACAGTTTGGGGGTTCGTTGTACTATATATCTCTAATAAGGAACCCCCATATTAAATAGAATAGGTTCTAGTAACTAGTATAGGACCTATACTAGCTACTGGAACCTATGCTATTTAACATGGGGGGTTCCTTAGGAAATTATGTAATTCCTGATAGCACCATAGGAAACGAAGCTAGCAAGGGCTGCGGGTGAGCCTGTGTTCGCCACCGCAGGCCTCAGTCGGCTCAGGTTACACCGGCTGAAGGGCTTCCTTGGGCCTACCTGGACCCCCAAAATACGTAGAATAATCGTCTTTTGTAGGTTTTGGGCCATTATTTTCCCTACTTTTGGTGACCCCAAAAGTACCCAGAATAATGGCAGTTTGAAGGTTTTGAGCCGTCATTTTGCCTGCTTTTGGTGGTTTAGGTAGGATTCATCAAGCCTGAACACAGCGGCAAAGGGGGTTTGGGGCTGAGCGTGAGCAACCGGGGCTTGAGGTTCAGGTTCTTAATATCGGGGCCTTAGTATTTAGAATCCTGGTTTCGGGGTATATTATACTAAATATTATAGTACGGAACCCCCCAAAATAGTATAGGCAATTAGTAGGAGTCCTATATTAACTGAAGAGCTTGAAGTCTTCACGATCAGCAATGCTACCGGTAACTCGTCGGTGCTTCGATCACGCGTGCTTGTGTGGGTCTTGTTCCGTGCCGCCGCTAACAAGGCCAAAGACCGAGGGACCTCCTCACAGGCTTCAGTGAAACGATCCTGCACAGAACTACTGTCACCACCATAGGCAGGATGACCCCAGGTGACGATGGATCCATCGCCACGAATGGCGGCAAAAGCAGCATCAGAGGCTTGTATCTGCTGCACGTTCTTCAGCTGATCCTGCACCGCACTACTGTCACCACCATTGCAGGCATCACCCCATGTGACGACGGATCCGTCGCGGAGGATAGCAGCAAAAGCCGAAGTCGAGGCTTGAATCTGCTGCACGTTTTTCAGCTGGTCCTGCACAGCACTGCTGTCACCACCCTTGCCAGCCTCACCCCAGGTCACGACGAATCCGTCGCCAAGAATGGCAGCAAAAGCGTTCTCAGCCGATTGGATTTGCTGCACGTTCTTCAGTTGGTTCTGCACAGCACTGCTGTCACCACCCTTGTCAGCCTCACCCCAGGTCACGACGGATCCGTCGCCAAGAATAGCAGCAAAAGCCGAAGTCGAGGCTTGAATCTGCTGCACGTCTTTCAGCTGGTCTTGCACAGCACTGCTGTCACCACCCTTGCCAGCCTCACCCCAGGTCACGACGAATCCGTCGCCAAGAATGGCAGCAAAAGCGTTCTCAGCCGATTGGATTTGCTGCACGTTCTTCAGTTGGTTCTGCACAGCACTGCTGTCACCACCCTTGTCAGCCTCACCCCAGGTCACGACGGATCCGTCGCTAAGAATAGCAGCAAAAGCCGTAGTCGAGGCCTGGATCTGCTGCACATTCATCAGTTGATCCTGCACGGCACTGCTGTCACCACCGAAGGCGCCATATCCCCAGGTCACAACGGATCCGTCGCCAAGAATAGCAGCAAAAGCCGAAGTCGAGGCTTGAATCTGCTGCACGTTCTTCAGGCGGTCTTGCAAAGCACCACTGTCACCACCGAAGATGTCATATCCCCAGGTCACAACGGATCCGTCGGCAAGAATGGCAGCAAACACGTTGATCAACTTGTTTCTAGAGGCTTGGATCTGCCTCACAGTCTTCAGCTGATCCTGCACAGCGCTACTGCTCGTTTCGCCGCAGGTCACCACGGATCCATCGCCAAGGAGGAGAGCAAAAGCAGAAGCAGAGGCCTGGATCTGCATCACATTCTCCAGCTCGTCTTGCTCGGCCCAGTGGCTGTCGTGACAAACAGACCCCTCGCTGTCCTCTTCATCCCCCCAGGTCAGTACGGATCCATCACCAAGAATGGCAGCAAAAGCTTCTCCACAGGCTTGAACTTGGACTCTGTGTAGATGCAAGGTTAGCACATCACCATTCTGCAGTCTGGCACGCTTGATCGGTGTGCGTGTATCCAGAACACTTCCACATGAGCCCACGAGCCGCCCTCTTCCGACTCCCAATGCGATCTGTGCCCTGCGTTTCAGTGTTCCGACTTCTTCATCCAAGTCGGCTTTCACAGTGGCTGCCTTGCCGCTGAGCAGCCCAACTTCAATCGACATGCTGAAACTGCAATCGGACAGCAGAAAAGTCCCTTTGTTGAGCACACCTGCCGCTACGACCCCACGCCAAGTGAGAGGATCATGGGACTCAGTAAGTAGGTTATAATTGGGGTTATATAAGTTCCCTAAGTTGGGTCATCCTACTTCTAACCTTACTTACTAAGGCGCCAACCTCAAAGCCTGAATATCTACATGCTGACATCGATTCCCTACAAGGGGTCGAGGCACCCACCAAGCATTTACGATCCCAAATACTAGAACCTGCAGAGCTACTAAACGAATCCTAAACCCAAGTGGACCCTAAGGAACCTGCCTTTTTAGGGCTCCTTAATATGATTTCTTTATATAAGTCCTTTAAAAGGTACGTAGGTTCCGTGGGGTTAAGGTAATTACTAGGTCCTTTGGACCCCGAAAGCTTGTGTGACCATGTTGAAAAGCCCTCGACAGCACCCTGTTCTGCATCCCTGGGCCAGACATAGCTTTGTGCCCTACGGTTGATAATATAAATCCTACATTACCCATAACAAGGAATATACCATCATTCCCATAGTCTAGGGCCGTCAAGTTATGCAGGATTCTTTCTCATCAACCGTAGGGCCGTAGGGATTTTTTCGGATGTGAGAAATCTAGCGGCATCCATGCATGTGGTTGACAAGGAGTATGCGCGGCAGATCTATTTCTTCTGGGTCCAAATTAGTCCGGGACTGTGGAAGCTAGAGCTTACCTAAACCCCCAAAAGTAGGCAAAATCATGGCCCCAAACCCATAAAGGCGATTATTCTACATACTTTTGGGGTCCAGGCAGGGTTTAGAGTTTAATTCGAAGGCATGGGTTGTAGTGGCATGGAGAGATCCGTGTCGAAGCTATGGCCTATTATCAGCGAATTGCAGCCAGGTTGCAACCATGCGCACTGGCACGTGGAGCGGGACAGGAGTTGGGACCGAGTGAAACCTGCAAAGAGACGTGAACAAGCACAAACCACCTTGCATCCCTAAACCCTGAAACCTAAACCCTAAGCCCTGAATCCCTAAACCTCAAACCCTGAATCCTAAACCCTGAACCCTGAATCCTAAACCCTGAATCCTAAACCCTAAGCCCTCTAATCCCCAAACCCTTCTCTTCCAGAAGGGCCTGTGCCACCCGAGACCACCGACAAGGAATGGTTCTCAAAACTAAGGTCCCCTTTTGGGTCCCTACGGTTGATGATCTAAATCCTGCATTACCTTAAGGACCCTAAACCATGGGAATTATGGTATATTCCTTATTATGGGTAATGCAGGATTTACGTATTAGAATTCGGCA